TGTGTGTGTGTGTGTGTGTGTGTGTGTGTGTGTGTGTGTGTGTGTGTATGAATATGAATGAATGCCATATACATTCAGAGGCCAGAGAGTGTCTGAATGTTGAACTGCGGTTGCAGATGGTAGTGAAAGCCAGTGGTGCGGGGAACCAAATATGGGTCCTCTAGAAGAGCAAAAAAATGGTCTTAAGTGCTGAACCTTGTTTAATGAATAAAATAAACAAGAACTTAGCAAAGCAGCACAGGCTTGTAATGAGCAGTCAGCATGGAAGTGAAAGTGAAAACTCCCGCCTCCCCCTCCCACTGTCAGGGTTGATCAGGAGATCTTGCAGACATCCTTGGCCTCCTTAGTCATCCTAGTCATCCCATGAGAGCATGGAAATTATAATATAGTCTGGGTTGGGGGCACAAGCCTGCAGTCCCAGCACTAGGGAGGTGAGTGTCAGCCTGGGCCGTGTGGGAAGATCCTGTCTCAAAAAGCAAATCCCTTAAGTGTAGAGAATATAGCTCACTAAATTTAGTCCCTAGCCCCTGAGCCCCCAGATGATAGCACTTTGAAACATTCACCATGTCTTGTTGTAAAACAAAAATACACATTATTTATTGCTGGCATCTTGGCACAGATCTGTAATTTCAGCTTCTGTGGGGGCTGAGCAGAAAAATGGACAGTTCAAGGGCAGCCTAGGCTACACAACATTGTGGGACCCTGTCTCAGAACAATGACAAACAAAAAACAGTGGTTAAATATTGGAGGCTGAATACTTGGCCTGAGAGTTTCAAGTACCTGCCATGCCAGGTCCCAGCACTCAAGTCTGTCAGCACACATAACTCGCTAGCTATTAGGGACTACCATGGGACTAAAACTATTTGAACAACTAAATCATGTTTTAACTTGGAAGTTGCAAACAAAGTTAGCTTCAGGGCCAAAACTGGTCAATTCATATTTTCTGCATTTACAGAATTGGGACTGGTGGGGTTTAGGTAAACTGTTAGCAAAGGGGACAACCATTGTGTTACAAATGGGTGTGGAGTTGCTAGGTCTGTTTTCTCAAGGAAGGCAGAAACTCCTAGTTGTCAAGACTCGCTTGGCTCGCAGGCCATCAATGTGTATCCCCTGTTCTAACTACTGTTGGCCAGGACTCGGTGAGCTTACAAGTCTCATTTCATAGACCATTAAGTTATTCACTTGTCTACTGTAGTCTTGTTGATCTACAAATTTTGTCTTTTAGCACGTCGGGTTTGGAAAAATTATCTCCCAGCGATTAATGGGATAGTTTTTCTGGTGGACTGTGCGGATCATTCTCGTCTCATGGAATCCAAAGTTGAGCTTAATGTAGGTTTATATTTTTATATTTTTTTTTTCCTGTATTGCCCTTTGTTTATAAGAAGTGTAAACTCGGTAGTCCCAATACTTAATGTGGTCAGAGTCCTAGAAGAAAATATTTAAAATCTGAGACGTGTTTTTTTAAGTTGTATTCATTTTATGTGTATGAATGTTTTGCCTGAATCTATGTATGGGTGCTGTGTGCTTGCCTGGTGCCTGCAGAGGCCAGAGAAGAGCACTGTATTCCCTGGAAATGGAGCTGACAGATTTTGAACAGTTGTAAACCATCATGTGGGTGCTTGGAATATTCTCTGGAAGAGCAGCCAGTGCTCTCAACTAAGAACCACTGAGCCTTCTCTCTAGCCCAGTGAGCTTTAACTTTTCAGTGTCCTGAGGAACTGTATTGAACTTGAGTGTTGGTTTATAGCTCCTGTGATGGGGTTAGCTGCATGGCCCAGCTTGCTCACAGTGCTCCTCAGCTCTGCCTGTTGTCCCAGCCTCATTAGTAGTACTGTTCCCTCCTTGTGGTTGCTCTTCATGTAGTCTTGGCATAGTGAAACTGAAAGGGTTGAGAGTTTTTAAGATTGATTTGTTTACATATTTTATGCATATGGGTGTTTTGTGTACATGTACAGCTGTACACCAAAAGAGGGCATCAGATCCCATGGGACTTCAGTTACAGGTGGCTGTGAGCCTCCTGGGTGCTAGGAATTGAACTCAGGACCATGCTCTTAGATGCTGAGCCGTCTCTCCAGCTGAGTATTTTGAATCTATTTCTCCTACAGAGTCATGGGATAGGCTTTGATGGTCTTCTACCACTCTTCAGTTTTTTTACTCATTTTGGGTTGTCGCCTTTGTTGGACTCCCTATAATGTTGCCTTATAATGTCTATTTCTTCATTTTGTATCTCATTTTTTTAAAGTTTTTAAATAGTTTTTTTATGCATATGAGTATTTGCGTGTATGTATGTATATGTATCACATGCATGCCTGGTACTCACGGAGGCCAGAAGAAGGTATCCCATTGAACTGGAGTTACAGAAGATTGTGAGCTACCGAGACCCAAGCCCCAGTCCTTAGCAAGAGCAAGTGCTCTTAATTACTTAGCCATGTCTCCAGCACCTTTCTCTTTCATCTGAGTGTTTTTTACTGTTTACTCTCCTTATCTCTCTTTTTTAATGTATGTTTCAAATGGGTCTCGTTTTGTGTGGGGCTAACTGCTTTCTTTCTTTTTAAAAAATTGTTTATTTAATTTTTAGTTTATGTGCATTGGTGTGAGGGTTTCATGTCCCCTAGAACTGGAGTTACAGATGGTTGTGAGCTGCCATGTGGGTGCTTGGAATTGAACCTGGGTCCTCTGGAAGAGCAGCCAGTGCTTTTAATCACTGAGCCATCTCTTTAATACTCGATTTAATTTTTATTTCTGTTTTATTAATTAATTTATTTATTTTTTTGAGACAGGGTCTTGTTATGTAGTCCAGCCTTAGCTGGACTTAGCTTCCCAAATTCTGGGATTACAAGAGTGCAGCAGTGCTAGCTATCACGCCCAGCAGTGATAGCTCTTACACTTAGTCTTCTGCTTATTTCTAAATGGACTTGATCTAAAGGGAGGTGTTGTTGAATGTCTTCACTTTCTCCATCCTCTTCTGCACAGTAATGGCTTCAGGTGGATCTCATCCATACCTGCTGAGGCGCCCACCCCTCCTCCACATACCTGCCCCCCCCCACACACACTTATTTTTTATTTACAACAACACCCTGTAAGTGATAGAACCATTAAAGGAAACAAAGAGGGAGAATAACTGACAAGTGGTGGTGGGAGAATCTACAATTTGTGGGTTTCCAGAGTATGACCAGGATAATAGAGAGGAACAACCCAGAGCTCCATTTTGGGAAGGTGCTATCACTTACAGGGTGTTGTTGTAAATAAAAGATAAGTGTTGGGCTATATGTTATTATTAGCCCTAAGATTATCATAGCAGTATTATCTAACCCGCTATCACAAATAATAAGACACAGTCACCTGTTAGATTTTGTAATTGCCTTACTTACCTAGGGCTGGGCAGATATTTCACTTATACTGTCTCAGTAACCTCACTATCCACCTCCCAGTCCCCATCCAGTGCCACCCTCCTTAGCCATCCTCGTCTGAGGTGTCTTCCATCCATAATCTTATAAATACTTGCTTTTATTCGTCATCTGAGTCTTTCCACGCCATTGTTGGAATCCTTCCTCCAGGCCCAAGTGATTTTTTTTTTTTTTCTCCATCGTTAACCCATCGTGGCAACCTCTTTCCTCCTCTCTTTCCATCCGTCTGTTCCTGTGATTCTTCTGTCCTCTTCAAGCCTGGGAACCTTAGCCATGCCTACCCCATTCTGCCCTGCCCAGGTATAGGCCAATGATGATTTAATCATCCAATCAGGTATGTCTTAGGCAGGTTTACACAACAAGGATAGTCATAACAAGACCTTGAGGGCCAGTAACCTCCAACCTCCAGCACACATGTTCTCCTTTACTCTTCCAACTCTGCTTCCTGTTAATGAGATGCAGATGTCCCGTCTTGAAAACTGTGCCAGCACTGCCTCCTCTTTTTGTCTGCTTTATTCTTTTAAACACTGATTCATTTCTTCCTAGAACCTTTCTTGTACAATCCATTAAACTGGATTTAGAAGGTCATCTCTTAGGCAAGCATTGTAGATAGACACTGTTTATCAAATCACCATCCTGAAAATGTAGATTTGCTGACTTTGTGTTCACGTTCTTTGGGATCTAGTGTAGCTTATATTTTTGAACTAGCATTCTGATAGGTGTCCATGGCTATCACATTTGTGTTGGAGATTAGTCTGCAACACATTTGCCTTGTTGCTGCACATCTGTGTGAATGTCTTAATTCAGTCAGGCCATCCTAAATGTGTGGCTTCTTGAAGTCTCACACTGTTACACAGTCATTGTTGTGTATTTTCCTCTTTTTACTTACCAAGTTCCACCTATCTCAGTTTTCAGTTCCACATCTTGGCTAAGATTTTGTTGAAGCATGAGTTGCCATGCTCCCCTGAACATGCTAGTGTTGACTTTCTGTCCTGGTTCATTGTGACGCTCAGTCATCTGCTATGTTCAGTTTTTACCTAGGTTTGTTAACATGAATCCGGTGCATTTCACTTCTGTGATCCTCTCAGCACTTAATGCCAAGATGAACTGTTCATCAGATGCAAAGATGACCACATGGTGCCTTATGAAACAAGTGGAAGTTGGTTTTTATTATATGATGAGCTTTCATTTCATAAATTGCTCACTTGGGTTTGTTTGTTTTTTTTAAATCTTGTCTCTAGGCTTTAATGACTGATGAAACAATATCCAATGTGCCAATTCTTATTTTGGGAAACAAAATTGACAGGACAGATGCAATCAGTGAAGAAAAGCTCCGTGAAATATTTGGGCTCTATGGGCAGACCACAGGAAAGGTAAGAGAAAGGCTTGAGGGAGACATGAAGAGGATACCCACATTTTTCTGTTCTGAGACAGGGTCCCTTCAGTGTGAATGTTTCATCAGGGACATATTCTTTAGCCAATATCTTCCCCACTTCCTTACCTTTTTTCCCCCTTTTCTCAGTATATAAAAAGGGCCTTGAGGGGCTGGAGAGATGATGGCTCAGAGGTTGAGAACATTGGCTGTTCTTCCAAAGCTTCTGAGTTCAAGTCTCAGCAACCACATGGTGCATCTATAATGAGATCTGGTGCCCTCTTCTGGAGTGCATCTGTACATGCAGGCAGAGTGCTGTATAAATAAGCACTGGGGGGGGGGAGAGGCACTTGAACACAGGACTTTTTACCTGTCTTCTAATACCTAATAAATGAAGACATGATAGAAAACGCTGTCTTTTTTATTATTATTTATTTTTTTATTTTATGTGTATGGGTGTGTTGCCTGTGTATGTCTGTGCACCATACATATGCAGTACCCATGGATGTCAGAAGGTGCTGGATACCGAGGAACTGGTGTTTGAGAGATTCTTGTTAACCACCATTGGGTGCTAATATTTATTTCTTTTTGGATTTTAAAAAATTAATTATTACTATTTTGAAGCATTACTACTAACCAGGCTTCAGTCTTTAAAGAATTTTCTGGGGCTGAGGAGACGGCTCAGCAGGTAAGAATATGTTTTACTCTTGCAGAGAACCCGTGTTTGGTTGTTAGCACCCATGTTGGACAGCTCACAACCACTTGTAGCTCTAGCTCTAGGGAATCTGACACCCATGGCCTCCGTCTACATTGCGCTTACCTGTACATTGCCACAGACATCCACATATACATAAAAAATAAAAATAACTCTTTTAAAAAGTATTAAGATCAAAGCACTTGGTTATCCTCTGTGAATCTATTATCCCATTTTGCAAATGAGCAGAGGGCTGCATAGCAAGTAGATAATACAACCAGAGATAGAATTGGAATGTCCTACATCAGTGTGCCCTACTGTCTTTACTATAATTTGAAGGAAGCCTCTGGTCTAGAAAAGCAGCCTGATGAGAGAAAATATAGAAATGTAAGCCAGGTACTTTATGTATATGTACATACTTGTTCATATATGTAGAGACCCGAGGTCAGCTTTGGCTGTTCTTAATAAAAGTATTTGGCGTTTATTTGCTGGGCTAGGTTGTCTGGCCAAGAGCTTCAGGAATCCACTTGTCTGTACTCTCTCAGCGCTGGGGTCACAGGTGTGTGGCACCGTGCCTAGCTTTTTTTTTTTTTTTTTTTTTTTAATATTTATTTATTATTTATACAGAGATTCTGCCTGCAGGTGGGCCTGCATGCTGGAAGCGGGCACCAGATCTCATTATAGATGGTTGTGAGCCACCATGTGGTTGCTGGGAATTGAACTTAGGACCTTTTGAAGAAGAGCCAGTGCTCTTAGCCTCTGAGCCATCTCTCCAGACCCCGTGCCTAGCTTTTTATGTGGGTCCTAGGGAGCTGAACTGAGGACCTTACACTTGCGCAGCAGGCGCTTTGTCCGCTGAGCTGTCTTCCCAGTCCCCTTATCTTCTGCTTTAAAATTTTAATTGTCATCTGTGATTCTTTTTGTCTGTAATTCCCATACCTTCGGTGTGCTGGGAGAAAAGTTGTGGGCAGCTTTGCCCAGCTAGTTCCATAGTCTTTTTGTTTGTTTTGCTTTTTAAAACAGGGTTTCTCTGTATAAGAATGCTGGCTGTCCTGGAACTTGCTTTGTAGATCAGGCTGGCCTCAAACTCACAGAGATCTGCTTGCCTCTGCCTCTTGAGTGCTGTCATTAAAGGGGTATGTTACCATGCCCAGATTAATTTCATAGTCTTGATGCATTATCTGTGTATTTCTTATAGTTAGCTAGCTTTTTAACGGCTGAGGCATCTCTCCAGCCCTATGTATTTCTTGAAATTCTTCTAGACCAGATGTGGTGGTACACATTGAGGGCAGCCCCAGCTACACAATGAAAACCTGCATTTATTGCATTTATTGATAATGTCTTGGTGTGAATGCTTTCTTTTTTTTTCTTTTTTCTTTTTTTTTTTTTTTTTTTTGTTTGTTTGTTTGTTTTTTATTTTTGAAACAGTTTCTCTGTATAGCCTTAGCTATCCTGGACTTGGTTTGTAGACCAGGCTGGCTTTGAACTCACAGTGATCTGCCTGCCTCTACCTCCCTGAGTGCTTAATGAATATACTAAAAGGTTCCAGCTTGTTTTGTCTTGTTTTGTTATAGAATATTGTGGGTCCATGGGCCTGGAAAGTTTTCTTCACAGTTCCTTGTCATAACTGTCCAGATGAATTTTGGACATTCATAGCCAATGTTTTTCAGAGATATAGGATGAGGCAGTGTGTAGAACCTGTTAAACTTTATTCTGAAGCAAGAGGCCGTGCAGAGGTCATCTGTGAATACCAGACACATTTTGCAGTTACTGTCTGTATCTGTGCTTTTGCATGTGGAGGCTCTAACAAGTCTTTCTGGGTTTGCCTCCCTTAGGGGAATGTGACTTTGAAGGAGCTGAACGCCCGCCCCATGGAAGTGTTCATGTGCAGTGTGCTCAAGAGGCAAGGCTACGGCGAGGGTTTCCGCTGGCTTTCCCAGTATATCGACTGATGTTTGGACAGTGAAAATAAAGAGTTTTACTTCTGGACTGAGCCTGTTCACAGCCTCCTCATGGACTTTTCTAATAGAACAAGGAAAGCTCTCCAACCATGTCTGGCATTGAGAAGCCACGCATCTCTGTCTGCGCTCATTGCCCAGTGGTGACATGTGCTCTTCTCCACTCTTGGGAAGTAACACTGCCTCCCTGCTGGTGCAGGTCAGTGTGCAGGGACTTGGGCTGGCAGGATTTGCCAGGGGAAGCTTGGTGCCATCATGGACACCTGAAAAGAAAAACACGTCTCACCACTGGTTGATTTCAAAAGAAAGTGATTCTATTTTTTAAAGAAAGTGTTGTTGATGTAATTGGTATCCCTTCTCTTAACTTTCTGAGTTCACAATTTACTTGGTCCAGATTTTCTATTCTTTTTTTTTTTAAACTAGTAAAAGAAATTTAGATACTTCATAAAATTATGAACAGCTAGTGCTTTGGAGGCCAGAGCTCTGCTGTGTAACTGCCTTGTTGAAGGTGGCACCTGAGCACAGGCGCCAGGAGAGGGCAGAGCCTTGGCCTTTCCTGGGGCAGTCTCCACTGTGGTAAGGGGAGTCCCTCATCTGGAGTGGATAAAGTGTCATTGTCACATTGTCAACTTTATTTGCAGTTACTGGTTTCAGCAGGCTTTGCTTTTATACTGTTGTAGAATTTCATCTCTGTGTAGCACCTTCCTTTCTTCACTGTAGATATAAAAAGTGACTTTTGCCTCATGAAAAGGTTAAGAACATCTCTTATTAGACCCCATGTTGCGGGTGTGTCTCAGATGCTTTTGAGCGTATTCTAGGGGGATGGTTCTGAACAGGAGGACACAGGTCAGCATCAACAGCCCAAGGCTCTGAATTCTGTGAGTAGAAGACCTATTTATCTGTTCTGCTAGCATAGCATTGGTTGAACCTAGGAAAGGCTTTCAGGGGGCCTTTGCATTTTCCTCTCCAGAAATAAGTAGAACATAAAATGGCCTACCAGCAAGAGTGAGTGCTGGTGTGAAAGCAGCGGCCCCGTGAGGATCATGAACAGGATTTTTATAGCATTTGGTTTTCATGATGCCACATACGAAATTGGGTTTTCATGGTGTTAACTTGATAGCCTACCCTTGGAGTAGAGTGGAGGAGATGGAATCCTGCTTCCTACTTTCTTTAGTGCAAGGTGAGAGGTAGGTTCTTAGCTATGGTGCTGCGGCCTTGTGACAGACTTGTGTCCAGTAGAGTGTAGGGAAGGCGGGTAGCACACTCCTGGGGAATGAGTTCCCACTTCTTAGTTGTGAGCACTGTGCTCATGGGACAGTTCTGTCACACTGCCAGGTTCCCAGTGCAGAGGCTTGGTGAGGTTTCTGTCTGCAAAACGCATGCATTGCGTTCAGCCACGACCAGCTGGAATGAGAACAGTGTGGAAAGGCCTGCTAAGCCTTGAGTGAGGGAATCTAGCTGGTGGCTAATGAACTGGCTGGGTAACTTGTATGCTTTTCTTTGCCTTTGCCTGAAGACTGCCCATGTCTCTGTCCAGACACATGACAGGTCTCATTGCCTCAGTGTTGGTTTCCTTATTTGTCTTTTTCATTTGTTCCTAAGCGCTTGATGGCAAGCTAGAAGACTGGACTCTGTCCAGGGTGGCTCTTTGTGAAAGTGGTTTATTCTTGCCACTGGAGAAAGAGATGACTGAAAAGTGGCACCAGTCTGCTTCCTGCCCCGCACAACACCAAATTAAATAAGGTGGCCAAAAGAAGTTGCTGCAGTAAGCGCAACTCCACCAGAGGGCCAGGGCCATGTCTAGGGGCTCCAGTGAACTGAAACTCTTCATTCTGTTTATCAGAGTGCACATGTGTCCTGTTGCAGCAAAAGTAAAACTGTCATTTACAAAAGGTCAGTCTGTATCCTAAGCATTTTAATAAAAAGCTAAAATGAACTTGCCTCTTTTTCTCATTGATTTGTACATGGTGAACATGCAGTGTGACCTTTGTTGAGAGGAAAAACAAAAGTTCTTTACATATAGGGAAGAGTATTTAAAGTGAATGTGAGTCTTGAGTTGCTACCAGGATAATAAAAATAAACAAAATAAAAAAGGCTGGGCACTAGTAGTAGCAAATGCTGCTGTATGAGCATCTTGGGTCATACTGTGGGCCTGAGGTTGTTGGTTATCTCTGCCACAGAATGCTAACGACATGCTGGAACATACCAGCTAGCAGAATCCTCATTGCACAGTGCTGGAACGGATCATTCAGAGCCACACTTGTCAAAACAAGTTTCATTCTGCATTTACACTTGCTTATAGAAAGCACCAGAAGGGGCTGGAAAGGTAGCTCAGTGGTTAAAAGCACTGGCTGCTCTTCTAAAGGACCTGGGTTCAAATCCCAGCACCCACATGGCAGTTCCAGGGTGTCAGACAACCTCCTACAGACAGACATGAGGCAAAACACAAATAAAAGGAAAAAAGCACCAGAAGACAAAACAAATCAACAGGTTCTTTAAAGCTGAGGGTGATGCTGGATGTGTCCTGTCACCATTACAGCAGAAGGAGACTGTGCCTCTGTGGGCAAAGGGGGTGTTTGTGGCCCAAGAGGGTCCTGGTGAGAGGTACGGAGGCCCTTAACTGGAGTTGCTTTTGCTGACTTGCGAAAACTTGATAAGGAACAGAGGATGAAGTAGGGCTCCGTGGCCCATGCCTTTAATCCCAGCATCGGGAAGCGGGAAAAACGAGGCATTCGGAACACCTGTCTCGAAAAACAAAGAACAGAGGCTTGAGGGGCATCAAAAACAAGTGTTGAATTGTAGAAAAAAATTCTGTTTTTCAAGATAGAGTTTCTCTGTGTAGCCTTCAAATATTGATCTCTTTTTGGTTTTTTGAGACAGGGTTTCTCTGTGTAGCCTTGGCTGCCCTGGACTTTGTAGACCAGGCTGGCCTTGAGCTCATAGAGCACTGGAGACATTAGGTGTGCTGGCTGGGGAAGCAACATCACAGTGTTAATTTTGTTCAGAGAAGTTATTTATGCAACAAAACAGCAAATGGGCTATTTTTTTCATTAATGCTCACAAGTATGCTGAAAGACCTACTAAACGTTAACAGTTGAGTGATTCAACTGTCCCTTTAAAACATTGCGTGGGGGGTGGGTATTGGATACCCTGGAACTGTAATTACAAGCAATTGTACCATTTGGGTACTGGAAACCAATCTAAGATCCATGGTACCACGGTAAGACCAGTAACTGCTCTTAACTACGGAGTCCTCTCTCCAGTCTTGATTCATTTGTAAATGGTGGGGAAAGCACAATTTTGTCATGTGATTTTTGTATGACTTTTGGGTTGTATGCTGAGTATTTGGAGGTGAAGATTGTATAGCCCACAAAACCTGAACTTTTTTCTTCATTCTGGACTTTCAAAGTAAAAATATTTGCCCCCTGAACTAACATAAATTCTGAGTGGTGGTTAGAAATGTCATGTGAAATATGCATGCTCAGAAGTATAATACATGGTTAAATAATTTGATCCATGGGAAGGGTAAAGCTGTAATCCCCAGACTAGAGAGACTGAAGACAGAAGAAGGGTTGCTGAAGTTCTGATCCCACACTGCTGACGCCAGTGTGGGCCAAAAGCTGGACCATGTCTCCATTCTAAAAGCTAGATTTGTGGTGTGGGAATTTTTAATAACTGTCCTGTGAGTAATTTTTGAGCCGTGTGCCCGCTAGTGGATTGCTGTAGGGTTTACTTTAAATTTCTCAAAGTGAAGGGGGTCGTGGTGAAGCACTCCTTTAATCCCAGCATTTGGGAGGTAGAGACAGGTGGATCCTAGAGTTCCAGGCCAGCCTGGTATACAGATCGAGTTCAGGACAGCCAGGGCTACACAGAGAAACGCTGTTTCGGGAAAAAAGAAAAAAATCAAAGCAGATACTGAATCAACCAAGGGTTCCCTTGGCCCATATTGTCCTAGTGGGGTCCAGTTATATGCTGGCCAAGTACGAGATTCGGCTGGGGAGTGCCGCCCTCGTCAGTATCTCTGTGGTGCTTCTGGTTTGCCGTTCAGGAGCTTTCTTCTGGCCCTTAGAACCCAGGAGTCTCAGGTTGGATAAATTGGAGGGCGGGGAAAGGAGGATTAGCATCAGTAGCCAATCGGGACTCGGCGCTCTGCCCAGCCAATAGGGGCGTTCGCTTGGGTTTAGCCAATCGGGCTCAGCGAGGAGACCTAAGTCAGCGCTTGCGCCAGTCGCCCTGCGTTGACAGCAGTTGTGCGACGTTTCGGGAGCCATGGGAAGGCCGTGGGGTCCTTCCATGAGGGTGGCGGAGCAGGCGGGCTGCGTGGTGAGCGCCTCGCGGGCCGGGCAGCCCGACGCGGGCTCATGGAGTTGCAGCGGGGTGATCCTGAGCCGCAGCCCAGGCCTGGTGCTCTGCCACGGGGGTATCTTCACCCCCTTTCTTCGGACCGGCAGCGCGGCGCTGACCCAGACCGGCACCGCTTTCCTGCCTGGCGACAGTTGCAGCGATGACCTGCGCCTGCACGTGCAGTGGGGACCCACGGCTGCCATCCCCGCGGGCCGTGGGGAGCAGGAACTCCCGGGGCTGTGCACGCCTCAGTGCGCAAGCCTGGACCTCGAGCCCGACGCCCCGAGCCGGCCCCGCGCGCGGCCCCTGCAGCCCCCGCGATCGGCGCAGCTGCTGTTGCTGCTCAGCTGCCCGGCCTTCCGCTCCCACTTCGCGCGGCTCTTCGGGGCCGAAGCGGCCGAACAGTGGCACTTCGTGAGCTCGGCGCCCGACGTCGCGGTGTCGGAGGAGGAGGAGGAGGACCAGCTGCGCGCTCTCGGGTGGTTTGCGCTGCTGCGGGTGCAGCCGGGAGCGGCGGAAGAGAGGCGCGGGCCGCCGTTGACCGTGGCACGGCTGGGAACCGTGGCCAAGGGCGCACCGCTGCTGGCTTGTGGCTCTCCGTTCGGTGCCTTCTGCCCGGACATCTTCCTTAACACGCTCAGCCGCGGCGTGCTCAGCAACGCAGCCGGACCGCTACTGCTCACCGACGCGCGCTGCCTACCGGGCACGGAGGGCGGCGGAGTGTTTGCGGCGCGACCTGCGGGGGCGCTGGTGGCGCTGGTGGCCGCGCCCCTCTGCTGGAAGGCCCGCGAGTGGGTGGGCCTCACGTTGCTCTGCGCCGCCGCGCCGCTGCTCCAGGTTGCCCGATCCGCGCTCGCCCGCCTGCATCCGGGCTCAGCCTCTCTGTCCGCGCTGCAGCCGCCGGAGGTGGGCGTGCCGCGGGACCTGCCGGTGCAAGACTTCGGACCCCCATGGGCAGCTGCGGCCGTGCTGGTGGAATGTGGTACCGTGTGGGGCTCTGGAGTGGCCGTAGCACCTCGCCTGGTGGTGACCTGCCGTCACGTGGCTCCCCGGGAAGCAGCCAGGGTCCTGGTACACGCGGCCACCCCCAAGTAAGGTCCAGGGCTGCCTCCCCTCACCAGGTTCTAGTTTCGAGGCCCTTTGGGGGCACTCTTAATGCCTGTAGAGACTGTTTAGAGACCTCGGTTCATTTTTTACAGCCAGGACTCCTCGGTAAGGGGACTTGGACCTCTTGGTAGGGCCCAGTGAAGTTTGAGCAAACACCCAGGCACAAGCAACTGTTAGCATGGGGCCCCGTGGGACCATACGCAGGTGGGAAGGGTGCCCTTGAGCCCTTCAACTAGCCCGAAACTCTTCGGGCAGCTCTCATCTTAGCGTTGCAGTTTAGGCTCTGTTAAAGCTCTTTGGCCAGAGAAGGCTTACCCTAAAGACTTCAGCTCTGTAGGTGGTAAACGAAGGCCCTAAGGTGATGAGATGCCTACCCAGTGAGGGTCCCCTAAGCCCTCAGGGCTGCCCTGCCACCTGAAGATGAGCGGTGCAAGGGCTTCTAATTAGAACGTAGGGCTTGGGCCCACGCAGATGGACAGCGAGAGTGATCCCAGAGTGTAGCTCTGCAGGGAGTTTAGACAGTCAACTTAGTCCCACTATAGAGAGAAGCACCTTTACCCTCCTTTCTTGCTCTGGCAGTGGGCCAGTGGCCTTGGCTTCCTGGTATGGTTTTCTGTGGTTCTGTGTCCTCCGTAGCCTCAGGGGCTTCACTTAGGACAAAGTAGCACCTTGGCTTTAAGCCTGGCCCTTGCCTAACCATCAGCCCAGGTCTTTCTAAATCTGAAAGCTAATCCAGCCCAGTTATGCCAGAGTCCCCACCAGCCCAAAACTGAATGGCTATCATTTCATAGTGAAAACAGATTGCCTGTGGTGTGGCCCCCAACTCCTCACTCCCTTGCCCCTTGACTGCTGATCTTAAGGAAATCACCAGGCTTTCTGGAAGTGGATGCCCCGTAGAGTAGGTAGAAATAGGGTGCCCCTGTATCTGGTGGGTTCTGGGACAGCTAGGAACATGGAGAGAGAACCCCACCCTCCCTGCAGTGGCTGGCCATGAGTGAGGCAGTACAGAGTTCTCATAGGCCTGCCCTCCCTCAGTACTATTCACTCTGTGATCTTTGGGAGAGTCGCGTATCTTCTCAGAGCCTCAGTTGCACCATCTAAAGGGGACACTGCCAGTGCCCTGTTGGTAGGCTTATGAGGACAAAGTGACACAGTATCCGCAGGCATCAACAAGGCCTGGTCACAGTACTCGCTAGCCAGGTTATGGTCAGGCATCTGCAGCTTTGTGTGGAAGCCTGCTGCCGCTTGTGAAGCACTCACAGAGATGGGCCTGCCTTGACCTCCCAGGTGCTAGAATTAAAGGTGTACTACCACAACCAGTCCATTTCATGACTCTCCTGTTGCTCTCTCACCAGTGCCAAGGCATCAGAAGGCTAGCTTGTCACTTGTTTCCTGTGTCCCCAGGGATGTGGCAATCTGGGGACGAGTGGTGTTTGCCACTCTGGAGACCTCGCCATATGACATAGCAGTGCTGAGCCTAGAAGAGGACCTGAAGGGTGTTCCCACGCCTGTCCCCGCCGAGCACTTCCATGAAGGTAAAGGACAAAGGGTCCGATGTGATGCAGATCCAGGCTGGACCCCAGGCAGGAGTCAGTGTTGACATTAACCTGCCAGGACCAATAGCCAGCTCCTTTCCCTATTCCTGCTGTGCAAGGGAGTTGGGAGCTTTGGTGGAGTTTTGGGGTTCTTACTGGAGATTTTCCTGTGTATGATGTCACCCCAGGTGCTGAGCTAAGAGGATACCCAATTGAGGGCCTGAGTACCTGATAGGGGGTACTGGGCTGTAAAAGAAACTTTTATTCTCCTGAGGTAATTGCTGTCTTGGAGGATTCCTGCCTCTGTCTGCTAACTTAGGCCTAGAAGCGTCTAGCCTCTGTACAATCTAACCTAGGCCTACAATTTTTTCAGCCTCTCAGACTCACCGCTGAATAAAATCACCTTTTCTTGTCCTTTCTGAGCTCATTGCTGGCTGGTTCAACTCAGCCGTTCTGGCTCAAACTCCTCTCCCAACTAATTTATTCAATCTGGCTTTTCTCTCAGCCTCTAAATTGCTCTGCTTGGCCTCTAACTCCAGCAATCTTTTCTAATCTCCTGGCTCCTTCTCATTCTCTGGCTCATTCAGTCTTCACCTGAGTGTTCTCTCTCTCTCTCTCTCTCTCTCTCTCTCTCTGCAACATGTCTCTCTATTACTGCCCTAGTAAAACTGCCTTCTCTCTCTCTCTCTCTCTCTCTCTCTCTCTCTCTCGCCCCTTAAGTAGCTTCCGTTTCCTCTCCTCGTAAGAGTTGGGTGTATCCTATTCTGTCAAATTTTTCTCTTGATTTGTCACTTTTCAGCTATTCAGCTTGACATCATTTTCAAACATGGGTGCTTCCTTCTACGAACTAACTTTACCTTCATTGTTTGGGATTAAAGACCTATACCACCATGCTTGGACCTAAGCTTTTCTTTATGCAAAACTTGCTTTATACCAGGCTGGCCTTAAACTCAGATCTGTTTGCCTCTGTCTTCTGGGTTAAAGGTGTGTTTGTATTCCAGTCAGATCACATAGACCTAGGTCTTTCAATGTGACTTCTTGGCCAGAGCAGCCATGTCCTGAATTAAAATTTCTCAGGAGCTCTGGTGGCATGCTTTGGGTGGAAGTCTGATTCTACTACACAAGTCCAGATGTATGGCTTCCTTCCTTCCTCCATTTTTTATATTTTGAGGCAGGGTCTTAAGTAGCCCCATGGGTGGTAAACACTGCATATGGCCAAGGATAATCATGAACTTCTCTGATCCTCCTGCCTCTTCCTCCTAAGTAATGGGATTACAAGTGTGTTGTTGCACTCGGTTTATGGGATGCAGGGGATTCAACCCAGGGTTTGTGCATGCCAGGCAAGCACTCTACCAATGTCTCTAAACCCAAATATTTTGTTTCATTTGGTGACAAAAGAGAGCAGTCCCCTGGATTAGCATCTCTTCTCCAGTGCAGGTGTCCTCAGGCACTTAACTCCTCCCTTCCCCTCCCCTTTGCACCCATGTCACGTGGGGCTGGTGTGCCTGTGTGGTGAGGACTGAGTAAGTTGTGCCTTGCTCCTTCACAGCACCTGGAGAAGTGGGGCTACCCATGCCACCATTGCATGTTTTCACTAAGAGATTTGGTCCCAGAGAGAGATGAATATTAATTACACATGTGAGCTGGTGACAGCTCAAAAGTGACTGCCTGTTTAGCAAAGGAGTGAGGACTGGGGGCCCTCCTGATGCTCCAGAATAGTGGTTGGACACATGCCACTGGGAACACAGCAAAATTCTGCAGCCCCCGGAAGGGTTCCAGGAGAAGATGCTTAGGAGTGTGGGAGGGTATGAGCAGGAACTCAAGGGGAGAGGATAGACCTTTGGAGAGGGTAGGAAAGGCGAGCCATAGACTGGTGGTACCCAACTTTTCTCCTTCCTTCTCTGGCAGGTGAGCCTGTCAGTGTGGTGGGCTTTGGTGTCTTTGGCCAGGCTTGCGGACCCTCGGTGACCTCAGGCATCCTGTCAGCCGTAGTGCACGTGGATGACACCCCAGTGATGCTACAGACCACGTGCGCCGTGCATGGAGGCTCCAGCGGAGGACCCCTCTTCTCCACACGCTCAGGGGACCTCTTGGGTAACTAGTTCCTTTCACTCCGAGTCTCACTGACGGAGCCTTGATCCTGCCAGTGATATCCTGCATCCATCTTGGGGGCCCCTTCTGGGATGATGGTGGGCCTCCTGTACTGAGTTAGGTAGCTGAAATTTTCAGCTACACTGCCTCTGAGAAGAGAGAAGGATGCTCAGCTCGAGGGGCCAGAGCTAGGTCGGTGGCCCTCGGTTCTGGCCACTGCTGTGACCTTAGGTAAGTCACTAAATCTTGTTTAGTCTATGAAATGTAGGAGTTGGGTTAGTCTGAGGGTCATGAACTCAAAAATCTACAGAACTAGACTTGTGAAAAAAAAAAAAAAGAGGGGAGGGGGAACCTTTTTATGGTTGTCCAGTATTTGTTTTACTTTGAGACAGGATCTCATGTTTTCTGGGCTGGTTTTGAACTCAATATATAGCCAAGGATGGCCTTGAACTCCGAATTCTCTTGCTTTTACCTCCAAAAAACTGGAATTATAGGCGTCCACCACCAATTTTTAAGCTTTGAGGATGAATTCAGGATTTTGTTTTGTTTTGTTTTTTGTTTTTTGAGACCAGGTTTCTCTCTGTGTAGCCTTGGCTGTCCTGGACTCACTTTGCAGACCTTGACCTCAGAAAGATCCACCTGCCTCTACCTCCCAAGTGCTAGGGTTCCAGGGGTGTGCCATCACACCTGGCCTGAATTCAGGATTTTTAAAGACAGAGTTGGAAGAGCATTTGCCCTGGGTTTGATTTACAGTGCCAAACCAGACAAACCAGCAAAGGAACAAAGCCATCAAACTGGAGGCTGTTTTGTTAACATGGCAAACAGCCTACACACGGAGCTGCCCAGGCTACGTGTCCAGCACTGCTTGACATGTACTGGCTGCCGTTCTTTCTGTGTTTGCTTATTCTAACTTTGTCTCCTACAGTGATAGACCTTACTCTTGGCAGTCCATATATATGCATTTATTTTTTTTATTTTTTTGAGGCAGGGTTTCTCTGTGTATCCCTGGTGACCTGGACTCATTCTGTAGACAAGGCAGGCCTGGAACCCACAGAGATCCGCCTGCCTCTGCCTCTGCCTCCTGAGTGCTGGGGTTAAAGGTGTGCGCCTCCTTGCCTGGCTTATTTTGTATTGTTTTATGAATGTCTTTCCTGCATGAGTGTATGTGTATCATGAGCACTCGTGGTGCTCATGAAGGTCAGGAGCGGCTTCCAGATCCTTTATAACTAGAACCACAGATGGTTGTGAGCTGCCGTGTGGTGCTGGAACTCAAACCTGGGTCCTCTGCAAGAGCAGCCAGTTCTTTTAACCACTGAGCCATCTCCAAAGAGTTAACACTCTTAAAATGCTCTTAAAAAAAAAAAAGGTAGGTGCGGAGGCGCATGCCTGTAATTCCAGCACTCAGGGAGGTAGAGGCAGACCTATCTCTGTGAGTTTGAGGCCAGCCTGGTCTACAAAGGGAGAGTAACCACTGAGCCATCTCTCCAGCCCCTTGCTCAGAGTTTCTATTGCTGTGATAAATACCATGATCCAAAGCAGCTTGGGAAAGGGAGGGTTTTTTCTATTTACATCACAGTCCCATCATTCAAAGGAAGTCAGGGCAGGAACCTGGAGGCAGCAGCTGATGCAGAGGCCATGGAGGGTGCTGCTTACTGGCTTGCTCTCCAGGCTTACTCAGCCTGCTGTCTTATAGAACCCAGGACCACCAGCCCAGGGATGACACCACCCACAGTGAGCTGGGCCCTTTACATCAATCAAGAAAACCCACCACATGGGTTAGAGAGTGCTCAGTGATTCAGAACACTGACTGCTCTTCCAGAGGTCCTGAGTTCAATTCGCAGCAGCAATACGGTGGCTCACAACCATCTGTAATGGCATCTGATTTTCTCTTCTGGTGGTGTGACAATGGAGCACTCATAATAAATAAAGAAAAACAAATTTATAATAAATGTTTTTTAAAGAAGAAAAAGAAAACAAGCCACTGTGATGGGCTGTTTTCTCAATTGAGGTTTTCTTTTCTAAAATGACTCTAGTTTGTGCCAAGTTGACATAAAGCATGCCAGCAAAGCAATGTGAGTCTAGCTTACTCCCCCCCCCTGGTTCATTTGGTGATTGTTTTGAGGGCCTTTGCACAGGCTGTGGAAACATGTACTGATTCCTGCCCTTTGCAGTAAGAGAGAAAGATGCCCAAAGAAGTGAGCAAGGCTATTTTATATGGACAGTGTGAAGGAGATAGCATGGCCGGGCAGTGGGTGAGGTGTGAGGAGCAAATGCACCTGACACTGGGCGTTTCCACACCCCACAGAGCCCCCAGCTCTCCCTCAAGGAGAAGTCCTCCCTGGGCCATGGATCCCCCATCCATTGCTTCACATCCTGTTTGTTCTCACTCCAACAGGCATTGTTGCTAGCAACACTCGGGACAACAATACAGGGGCCACCTACCCACACCTGAACTTCAGCATTCCCATCACAGTGCTCCAGCCAGCCCTGACGCAGTATAGTCAGACTGGCGACCTGTGTGGCCTTCGAGAGCTGGACCATGCCACTGAACCTGTCAGGGTGGTGTGGCGGCTGCAGCGGCCCCCGCCTGAAGCCCCAAGGAGCAAGCTCTGAGATTGTCCTTCTTCTGGGAGAAGGCAGACCGCTCGATGGCGATGAATAGTGTGTTGACGTGGCAACTGTGACACCTCAGTCCCCTGCCCAGGCACAGCCCAAGCCACCACCTCATCTTCACCCACTGACCGTCCAGGAACAAACTCCTGTGCAACTCTGTGGGTCTACTTTGGGATGCTTTCTTGAGCCTGTCCTATGTGTCTCTCAGAACTAGCTCAGCAGTATCATTGTTCCCTCTGGGGGGTTCTAGCCCATTGGGCTGATGCTGCTGGAAGGGTGACCCAAGCCCAGTTTGGCATCTCTCCACCTGACAGCCCCTGGCTACCTGAAGTGAAGGGCTAGGGCTCTGTCCTGATGCTCTCTGTACTCTGCATGGCAGCCCAGAGTCCCAGCAGCCGGTAACAGGAGTGTCTTCCTATTGCCGCAGTGACATACAGGCAGATCCCTGAGAGCCACCTGGGCCTTCGCTCTGACACAGTGCCTTCATTTTCTAGCCCAGAGCCTGGGACTCAGGTGGTGTGTGCGATGGGAGCTGGGGAATAAACAGTCTGATGGCGTCACTTCTGTGTCTGGGCTGCTACTTAAAAGCACAGTGGGGAATGGACCAGCACCTGGCAAGGAAACCTGCTTTTTTGCTTTGCTTCCCAGCAGGTTTCATATCCCAGTGTTTTGTCTGCCAGCCTAGCCCAAAGCTGCCAAAGACGTGTGGGTCCTGGAAAGCTGGCCTATCCTGTCCATAGGTGTGTGCAGAAGCCCAAAATAGGCCCAAGATGTGCATAGTGAGGGGGTCAAGTGAATAAGGACTGAGGGTGTAGCTGGTGCTGGATCATTTGCGCGCGCGCGTGTGTGTGTGTGTGTGTGTGTGTGTGTGTGTGT